CGATGACGTTCATGAAACACAACCCCTAAATAGCTGTAATAGCGAACCATCGGCAAGGGTTGCCGGCCAATGTGGAATTGCAAGGAAGCGATATTGGAGAGCCTCCGGCCGAAACACATTACAGCATTTTTGCTTGTACCAACAACACAAATCCTCCAAGCTCTAGCCCAAGCTGTGGCTGCATCCAAAGTTCTTTGCAAGTTTGCTGGGCAATGTCATCTGCATACAACAAAATTTTGACATACAGTGTGTTGGAACCAGATGCGTGACACGAACCTCCGCGACAAGCACGTTTGATTACTGATGCCAAACCGTTGATTAGTGCATTCATTGAAAAGGAAGCCACTGAGGACAGCTCCCTGACAGATGCCGTCATCAACGTCCCAATTGTCAGAAACCAAAGACGCCACACGGACGGCTGCAGAAATCGTTAATTACAAGTAAGTGCCAGTCACCCCTTTGAACTCCAGCGCGGAAAAGGCGCAGCAAGGCACCATCACGCCATGCAACATCAAAAGCAATCAAATGCCTTTCGGATGTCAAGGAATGCGCAGAATGTGGTGGAACTTCCTCTCAAGCGTAGGGTTTCCATCGAAATCCTGCTTGGCACTCATCAAGTGATGGATCGATCAAGGGATGAATTCGGTTAAGCAGTAAATTTTTAAATGTTGTGGGACGATGATCATCACGCGTTGTACTGTTTTCGCATTTGGCAAGGGCTACGATGCCATGTTTCAACAAGGATGGGACACGAGAAAACATTCGGCAAAGTTCCAAGAATTGCAAAATCGCATCTGTCCACTAGCGAAGATCCACACACAAAGCTTCATAGGGAAGCTTTAAACACCAGGTGCTTTGCCCGAAGCACAACTGGCTGGCACGGTTTGCAGTTCACTGCGCGAGAAATGATCCCCAGAAGTGCGGCAGGGTCTCGTTTCACGAATGCGTTCAACACAACGCCACACGCGAGCAAGCTGTCGATTGTCGAATCCACACGGGTGCTGCGAATTCACGTGCATGAAATGGTCACGCCACTCATTCAAGCAAGCTCTTTGCATATCGGGCGAGGACGAAGAGTTTGGGCACAAATCATGCACAACTCGAGTATGATTGCGCCGAAAACGCCGCCGGACGGTACGGGCAGCTGCACGCGGACAACGAGATGCAAGAGCCTCAAGGTTTTGCAACCGACACGACCAAAACGATTGCTGGGCCGTACAGACTATGCGGTGGAAATTATTCCTAGCAAGCCTAAAGGCAATCTCAGTCTGGGCACTTGGATTGCGACGACGCTCACGCCATGCAGCATTGCGAGCAACCAAGGCTTCCATGCACGACTCGTTCCACCAGGACGGCTGTGTCTTGCAAGGGTCATGTGCTGATTCACGATAAAGCGAAGGATCGGCATGTCACAGAATTTGAAGCAATCGATCAAGTAAACTATCAACATGCTGTCGCTTGGTTGTGGTGACGACGGTGATTCTCGCAGTAGCTGTTGGATTGAATTTCGGACTGTTGTGTCCGCAATAGGCTCCTACAATCACGGGCGTGTACAACAGGCGGCGGCGTTACCACGAAAATGTTTGCCTGCCTTCGCAACGTGATCATTCAGGCGAAATGGTCGCTCCCCAACAACGGGCAACAAATCCGACCATCTACACATCCGCAATGAGTGCCATTGTGAACTTCGACGTTGTGCACTATAAAGGTGTCGCAAAGACTAAGTCTAATGCGGCGCCATGCCGATGAGTTGGAACCTCGGTATGGCTTTGAAAATCTAGGTTAAATTAAGAAGTAAGCGGATCAGCGCCAGACATCTACGGTCAGCATTGCGAGCTGGGCGCGAGTCAACGAGGCCAGGAAACCCAACGTTAGAATCCCGTGCTATGATCAGGGGAATCCCCGGCAACGCACGAACCACACTTTCAATAGATGCAAACAGCCGTTGCCAAAAAGCTGTCGCACAGCATCCTGACGACCGATATGTGGGGCATAAAAGGAAGCGAGTGCAACACTTGGAGCTGCCCCTTCACTCAAGAGCCTCCACCGGATGTCGCTTTGGTCACGGACCGAAGGGATACGCGACAACGACAATGAGGATTCCCGGCGGTGCAGAAATCCAACATCACGACCACGAGAGCCGGAAAGGCCATCCAACACGTACGGTTGATCTTCACGCAGTGTCGTGTCTTCGGGGCAAGCGGTTCTTGCAACAGTGCGAAATGACAATCTTGTTCACACAGAAAATCAAAAAATCCATGAAAACCATCATGTAAGCGGCCAGAAAATGACGAGAGCCTATTGCAATTGAAAACAGCCAGGCGACACATGATTTCCACAATGCCTGGGCGCAGGGTTGCCGCAACTTCGACACAGGCCCCGTTGGGCAGCGCGCGGGTGATGTCTAGCTCATGTTAGCGGATATCGCACATGCACGTGTGCGGGCACAGGCGGGGGAGGGAGGGTATTCATGCTGCGTTTGCGCTGAAGGCTCCCAGACGCATCTGGCGAGTGGAGCGGGGGGAGGCGGAAGTATGCAACCACGCTGATTGGAGTTTGAACGTTGGGCAGCCGGTGGATGCACAGCGGTCAGTGCCATATCGGCTTCAGGGGCAGCTTCAGTGATGGAGCTGGCTGCATCAGGGTCGGGCGGGAGGGTGAATCCAAAGCAGGTATGAAACAAAGAACCACAGACCAGCTGGGGACGCTGACCAGAAGCGCCTTGACTGCGGTTGATACATAACCAAGCGCCCCACGCGGAGGATCCTTCAATCCGAACTTGGGGCATGCCAACGTGCGCGAAACATCGCGAAACGTCCTTCATTTAGGAGGTGGTTGACACGTTGAACAAAACTATCCAATGGCGTATCAACATCACGAGTTAATTGAACGCGGCCGTATGCTGAGGTGTTTGCAGCATTGGCATGTGCACAGGTTTCATCACGCCTTGGTGCGCGTGGACGAAAACATGAGTCACAAACCGTGAAACTGCAATTGCGCGAGCAATGGTAGTATGCAGCGTATTATGGCATTATGGATTGTGTTCGTTGCAAACACGGCACCTGCGCACGACGCACAGGCGGGTATTCATGCAAATGCGTTTTTTTGCGCAAACATCCGAGCGCGGTCCCTGTGCAGCAGACTACCGGGCGCAACCGGACCGAGGGCAAGACCCCACCCCACCTGACCTAGCCGAAGCTTAAGACAGTCGGGAGGCGAGCGGCGGAACTCAGACGAGTCTGCGAGATTTTGCGAGGACGTCACTCAGGAGGGGCGGCTCGCCGTCAAGGTTGGCAGTGTTGGAGATAGGAGGGGACAGCAAGAAAAAAAAGCTGGTTGCGAAGGAACGCGCAGCGGCGACAGAGAGAAACCCAGAACACCGTGCGACAAAGGCAGCTACACAACACGGTTGGTTGGGTGTTTCAGTCGGTACACAAACCGGACGATGAAGACTTGGCAGGGAAGGTGACCACCGGCCTTCCTCACGAAACATGGAACCAGCGCGGTCAAGCTCGGATGCAACTTGTAGGCCAGCAAACATCTGGAGAATAATCCTGAAGCAGACTGGGAACATGCCCCATGTCCGTCAATTATGACAATGATAGGAATGATAACCTTGAGCCCCAGTCGCGACCCGCTCGAGCACCGTATGTGTATCTGCCAGAGTTGCCCCGCGGCCTGCACATCCGCAGGGTTTGGGCACCAGAAATTTGTAGCAGTTCCATGTAAGCTCGAGTGAGATGCACAACATCCGCAAGCTCCCGGGACAAGGCTGAACATAAGGCTTGAAACATTTTGAAACCACGGAGGCTGCACGGAGCTGCCGCTCCCCAGGCAGAAGCTGCATCGGCATGAGGTAACCCAGCCACAGGCAACAAAATTGGGCAATACACAAACGAGTTCGAGTTTTCAACTTTGCGGGCTGGTGGCATCGCTGAAAACATCGAGTTTGCAGAACCGGCGTTCTGAGCAACGACAACAACAACATCTGCCTGATCATTTAAACCTAAGCCTACTTTTGTGCGGACGGGTTGTGTGCAAGTCGGGAAGCAAACCCAAGTCCGAGATTCATATGCGAAGTCAACTACAAGTGTACGAGGCCCGTCAACAAAGCGCATACCTTCATCATTCCTGGTGGACACGAGCGGGGCATCAATCGCGATCCTGCGACCGCGCAAATTGCAGGACCATTCCCCCCGCCACCCCGTCTGAACACGCATGCCGATGCGATGCAATGTGGGCATGGCCATGCAGATGTAGCACCCAATCGCAATTTAGGGCCGCAACATTGCGCACGCAGGGCATCGAAGCGTCGACCCATGCGGCGGCAATGCCATGCTCGAACCGGCGGGCGTCAGCGCTGTCTGCAGCGTGGACGAATGCGCATCGTCTTCCGACAATTTGGAATTGGCGGTGCCGCGGCTTGCATCCGCTGCGCCCGGCATCCCTCGCAGGGTTAAGGCGAGGCCTGAGGCTCCCCACTCTCCCAGCATCTCAGGAGCCCCTTCAGAAAATCGCTGTTTAACACCAGCATCGACCCCGCAACTTGAAAGCTGAAGCCAAGTTCGCATGACTAGCAGACGATGCCGCGAAGGGTCACGAAGTTGATTGGAGCATTCAGCACATCTGCTTGTCCCGGCTACAAGTGGCATCACTCAGCGGTACTCGAACGATACCCTGAGCAAAGTTTCAGTCGGACACATGCCCGCACCCAGCATACAGCAAGTGCACTTCAACATGCAAACGGCGACTTTTGCTTCTTTGCGAAACAATAACTACATGCTTCCTGCTGCTCTGCCCTGCCCTGTCCTGATTTGCGGAACTTGGGATAGACTCTTCTCTTCACCTATACCTATACTAGACCGACTGCCCACTTCAGTCCGAACTCACAAGACTAAAGATAAAGCACTCGACCGAGTCGTACCTTGAACTTTCACTTATGCGAAGAAGCTTTTTGACCATGCCTTCCCATGTATGAGAATGCAGCATGCGCGGCACCCTCACTTCGGCAACAGGTAGTTGATCTGATCCTGGCGGCTTCACATGGACATACACGGACTAGCTGCACAAGCGGATTCAGCGCTTCACATTGGCATTCACCTCCGCGGCTTCGAAGTCGGACCGTGATTGCAGCAGTTTCTGCATCTCGTCGGGTGTAAGCCGCCAGGTCCTGACCCAGGGTTGCAGTCAATTTGACACTGTCGGCCGGGAAACGTTCCGGAGCTTTTGCGAACGCCGCACACACCAACAGTGCCGACCTTAACTCACTGCACAGCTCACGAAGCTCGTCCAAGCTCTCCAAGTTCAGCCTGAAGCAGCACATGATCGTTGCAAGCTATGTTCGGCGGTCCAAGCCGCAAAATGCGCATGCCATCTCAGACCATGACAAGCTGGACATCTCGAAAAGCCTGGCGAACTTGTGCCTCAAAGCCTTCGTCACAGGCAGGTGCCCTCGGTCGCTCACAGAGTTCGCTCGGTTGCTCCGCGCGACTCTCTACTGAGCCGACTTAGCTGCACCTGCTCGCTGACACTTGTAAAGAAAGAACAGATCGCTCTGACCTCGGAGTAGCTCACCGCACTGAGACTCACCGCGATGTTGCGGACACTGACGCCTAAGACCCCTCGGACTCTGGCATCACTCTCAAACTGCAAAGCGCCGAACAAGCTGAAGTGCTTCGAAAGGGCAGCCTGAACCACTGCCACTCACATCGTGATACGACACCCGAAGTTCACGAACCCATGGCGGGACAGTGAAAGTGTTTGATGTGGAGGGATTTGGCGGTGGGAAGCTGAAAGGCCTGGTCCATGCTGTGGATGTACGGAGCACTGCTTCCCTAGGGCCCTGTACAGGCCAGCACGGGCTCGAACTGGCTCTCACAGGCCGTTAAGGCACTGAAAAGAGGCATAAACGTTTGACACCCAAACAGAAGCTTTGGAATTCGGGATACAACGTCAACCAGATGCTCACTCAGCAGCTTAACTCTGTGACAGAGCGCTTGCTTGTCATGGGTGCGATTCGCCACAGACCGTGGCAAAACTGGATGTTAGGTCCTGTCCCCTCAGGTTGCAGCAGAACAAAGGCCTAAAAAAATGGGCACCAGGTCTTCCCAAGCTGCTGGAAACATGCAGAGTGAGTGTGAGTAGATTGAAAACCGAAGCATCGAAGACATCGACTTAGCTGGATACAACTCGCCGCAGCCTTCTCGATCCTGCGACATGTCTGCTCAGCCATGTGCCTGGCAAATATCACTTTTTTGGCAATCATTGTCAACTTTGTCAACCCCCTTTAGAAAACCTGTCTTAGTTGCTGCATGATTTCCTCCGCAGACGAGGAGTTCAGAACCGCCTCCGAGCAGAACTTGAACAACAAGTCCAGCAGAGACAAAGCGACAGTGACATGGTCTCCAGGCTGCCTCGCCTTGATGTGCTGATGGATAACATCTGCTTGGGCATTGAAAGCCTCGCAAAGGAAAGAGAAGAACTTGCAGCTTTCAGCACGAGACGAGCCTTGGCAAAGGGATCGTTGACCTGGAAATCTGCATATTGGGCCTGGCTCGCAGATTCTCTGCGCCGGTCCGTCACGGCCCTTCAGAACCTCTCTCCTCTCTTCGCACCTCCGAAATGTTGTAGTCGAGCTTGTCAAGGGGCTCCAGCATGGGTCGCAGGTGGATTTTTAAGATGTTCAGACCTGATGAGAATGGCTGCTGTGACTGGAGCTTTGCCCAGGTACAGTAGCGGGGCTGAGGCAGCCGGCAGCCGCTAGTTTCTCCATTGCAGTCCCCTTCGCAATTCTCTTCCTCTAGCTATCCTGTCATTCAGGATAATCACTCCTTGATTCAAAGGCTTTGTGGCACTGTAGGGCAATCATGGCCTTATCGTTGTTTCCAAACTATTCTTCACTGCTTGCTTGCGAGATCTTGCAAGCCGAAGCTTCCTGTCCTTCCCTGTTGGATTTGGGGATGTGCCGAACGTTCGCATTGCTTCGCCAATCGGCATTACAATGCTTCTTTCGTTAGTAGTGTTTGCAGGCCAAAGCACAGGGAAAAACTTAAGCGTGCTGCATCTGAGCTGGCAAATCCAAAGCGGTGGAACTCCGAGCGCTGAAGTTTCCTCAAGACTGCATATTCTAGGTTCAAGAACGACTAGACCATGCGCAGAGAACGGCCAGGCCCAAACACACGTGCAGTAGCTCCAAGACCCCTTTAACACTGAGACAAGAAAGGCCGAGAACAGAAAAGAAGACGGAACACTGTAGAATTAACGAAACTTCTATGCATGCAGGGCCCATTATGCTACAGGTCTGACTGTGCAGTTCTGCACTCGCATGATTGCGACTTCTGCGCGAAACTTGATGTTACATTGCAATACAGACCAAACACAGACAGCATGACATTCTGCCGGACGCTCTCCGGAGACAACGGAGTAGCGCTGCAGTTGAGCGTTGGGGAGCCGAGCTCCGAGCCGTCCTTGCACTGGCTGGAATGTAGTGCCTCCAGGTCGGCCTGCACTTCGCCGGAATGCGTCGCACAGTCGCACACAGAGACTGTGTCGAAGGCCTTCGATGCACCGAGTGCTGCAATACAGTGTCGGAACATCTCGTGCTTGTCCTGCAGCTAGCATCGCAACTCCAGAAGCGCGCAGTCGCGATGGTAATCGAAAGTCAACATCGTAGATCAGACAGATTCCCATGCTGGTGACGGAAGAATTTTGTTTGCGCCCGAATTCCATTGGCTGCTCTCCCATCTGGCTACAAACTCTTGAACTCATGCTTGTCTGTGCCTGCATTCGAGCAACTACTGGAAGTACTCAAATGAACTGTGACCACACTTCTTCAGATCTTCCTCTCACAAACATCCTCCGCACACTCCGCTGCCCCGCCTTGTCCGGGCCTTCGCTAGGGAAGTATTCATCAAAGGCATCCTCCACCGTCTCCTTCAGGATACCCAGCTTCACGAGGAGGTTTCTGCTTCCACACTGATGCCACATGGCTACGAGACCCTACATACCCGAAATGCACAAACAGTGCGAATGTTCACAAGATACCGAACCCAAGTCTCGACCCCGGATGCTAAGCAACACAAGGTCTGCAACATTCCACACTCATTGACGCGAATCCTTAGTGAGGATTCCTAAACAGCCGGGCAACCACAAACCTCCAGCACAAGCCGCCGACAGAAAACTAGTCAGATCACAATGGCATCATTGTGAATCAAGGCATAGGTATCAAAGCCAGTGCACAAGTATCCCGGCATCCTTCAGTTTGTCAAGGTTTTCGAGGCACTGCTGCAGGTTGTTCCTCCAGATCCGGAAATCTTTTGCAAGATGCATGCTTGAAACCAAGCCTTCCCAGGTTTAGAGAAAGTGCAACGCGGGCCTCTTGCGCTTGCAACAAAAACTCTTACGACGATGGGTCTGGGGAGGATTCACATGGCCAGGCTCATGGGGAGGTCGAGAGCGCAGCGTAGTAGCAGTAATACAAAACAGAACAACGGCAGTTTCTGTAAACTTGAGTTAGTAAGTAGCAATCCGTAGCAGTTGTAGTAACAGTCCTAACTATAGGAAAAGTAGAGTAAGAAGAACAGTAGACTGACGCAAAGTGAGCGTGATAGTCGAAGAGCGATAGAGTTAAGCAGTTCATACCCGAGCTTGCGCTGGAAATCAGCCAAATCCTGAAAACGTGTAAAAAAGGCAATCTGCAAAGACAAACAAAACGCGACAAGAAACGTAAGCCAGGAAAGCCAAAAGGCAAAGGCTCAGGGCTTGGGTTCCTGGGTACAGGACGTAGCTGCCGCGCATTCATGTTTTCGGCGTGCGCTTCTGGCACTGTTTCTGCTCTCGACTTGTTCCTATTATACAGCAGGACCACGGCCTCAGGATTCGTTTGCGTAGAACCTTGCAAGCTGGTCCGGGGTGGGGCTGGATTGGGCTGGTGGCTGGATGGGCTGGGGGTGCCGGCTTCGGAAGGCGAGGGTGGTTTCGGCAGGGCGCTTTCCGGGGCAACCGGTGAGGTGGGTGTGGGTGGAGGCACGTTTTCTGGCACCTTTCTTTCGGTTACGTCGATCAAAGTCCCCTGACTGACTTACACATGGCAGGATCAGCCGCCACCGAAGAGGAACGACGTGATGAAGTTCACAATCGTGCAGCCAATGCCGGCAAGCTGAAAAGAAATGTGGTCACGCTGAACGGTGGACCATGGGCACAGAGATACTTGATACTCTGGAGCTTTGGAATCGATACTTTGTGATCCACACTCTTTCAACCATTTTGTCCTCAAGCTCCTGGCGTCACACGAACCAAAAGTTGACTGAAACGGAGCTTCCGCAGAACAAAATTCCCATCCATCGGGGTCGCTTGCATTCCGACGTTCTCGCTGACGTTGAAGAATCTGCTCATCGGTGACCTCACGGTTGATTCCAGCGGATGTGTCAACGGCCGCCAAATCACCCCACTGCCCCGCAATGTCATACCGATGCTGCTCAACGAATTGCTTCTCCATCACACTTCGAGACATGGTCAGCCATTTCGCGCTGCTGTTCTGGGTAGGTGGTAGGTCAAATGATGTAACCGAAGAAGCAGTAAATGACAGAGTTGGGGTCCACGCAATGTGCTGGTGAACACAGCTCTCGCTTCTCCTTCTGCATAGCCTTCACCTTCGGGCACCGCAATGGTTGTCGTTTCCTCATCATCGACAACGATGACTTGGTCCGGCTTCGTGGCCATGCTCCCCAGCGGCCTCGGGATCTCGGCACAGTCTTTCTTCGGATGTTGGTCTTTTGGCACTTTAGAGGGGCGGTTCTGCGGGCCGTCTTAATTGTAAAAATCTGCCTGGCATGATTTCGGTATGTTTTACTAGATCTGCACTGATCAAAAACCGTCTCGGCAACCAGCGGTCCGTCTGGAACTCCGTGGGTGATACCCAACGGGTTTTTCGGGGGCAGAGGACGTGTCTTGGGTCTTGGGTTTCCTCTTCCAACCACGTCATTGTCTCCATGTACCTTCCTATGTGGAGTCCACTGCAACTCCACGCCGCCATGCACAAGGCAAGACCTGGAACCCTATCGAGGAATAGAGTACGAGTATCCTGGATATGGCACGAATCTGAGCATGAGTGCTTGCGGGCCTGCGAACAGCTTGGCCAAACGGGCTGGGGAGAGAAGGCGGGGTGCAATGATGTAGCGTGGGCTCTGGTCCAAGGTGGACTGCAGAGGCACTCAAGAACCAGCAGGAGTAAACCACTATGGTGTCACATTGCCGAAGATTTAGGGTGGGAAGATACGGTCAAATCCGCCTTTGTGCGAGGGGAACGGAGCATCGATCGGCAACCATTCAGCGGCACTCGGCGGCCTACCCTGCCAGCACCGGGGCCTATGATTGAATACATACATACATACATACATACATGCGTTGCTGGGGTCTTCGCGGCACGATGTTCAGCGCAACAGGGGGCGCTTTCAGGAAGAAGCAATTGATTCTTCAGAGAACAGAAACGGCTTTTGTAGACAATAACCACGCCGTTTGCCGACACCATGGGACCGAGACTGTTTCAGGAATGACAGTACGGGGATGGCGTTTTTGGGAAGCGTGTAAATGCATGTCCGCGCGATCACAATGATGGCATCCTTCATTCCAAAAGGACAGGTTTAAGAAACGGCAGTCGTTAATTTCGCTGACAAGGTCACACGCGCTTACCAGGATGGCTGCACAGGCGTCTCTACGGATATAAATGCACTAGTCGACATCAAGAACCGCGAGAAGCACGGACGCATGCGGACTGCCCGACCGGCGTGCGGCCCAGTTAAAACGGGTGGCCGGCAGTGCACTTGCTAGGATGGCTGCCTCTGCGTATACGCAAGATTTACATGCACGCAGGCAGGGTCAGGACACACAGAACCGCGAGAAGCAAAAACACGCCGGACTGCCACTGCTTAGACCGAAGGAGTTTGCGTGAGCGTTTCTGTGCGGTGTGTAAAGGTATGCAGACATGGGAACGACACTGAGAACCGCGAGAAGTAAGACGCACCAGGACTGCCACGTCGCAGGCCGAAGGAGCTTGCGCATGCATGTCTTTGCCGTCTGTACATGCATGCAGGCATGGAAAGTACAGCGAAAGACTCTCGTCGGTACCTGTTTGCTAACTGAATGTAGGAAACGTGGTAGTTGACAAGATAGTACAGACCTGCCGATGGCTAAAAAAAAGGATTTTGGACTGCTGTCGCATTATGCATTAATGCATTCATGCAGGCATGGAAAGAAAACCAAGTGCAGTGCACATACAAAGCAAAACACTGTTGAATAATGGTGAATAAACGGATGCTATGCCAAAACCCGGAAAGTGCTATAGACAAAACAGATATAGCTACGAGCTCTGATTGAACATAGAACACTAAGATACCAGCCAAAACCCGAGCTATGCAACTGCACTCCACGTACCACGATTTGCGCGCAAGCACAGGCACAATACCATAAACCGAAGAAAGGCAGACACACTCTGACAGCCGCCAGGAGCACATAGGAAATACCAAACGGCATAAGACTGGGGCAAACGTATACGATTTGTGAGAGCATGAATACGTGCAAAACCAAGATCGAGTACACCAACACTAGCACAGATGAAACCGGAGACAAAAACGACCGCACGGAAGGTACATCGTATATGGGCTTCTATACTGTGTGTAAACGCATACGGACTTATGAACCCGATCGAGGAGCACAAAAAAAGCAGCAAAGATCTTACCAATGCAGTTGTAACGAACATGAACATTAGGATGTTATCATGAAAGCAACAGAAAAAGAATACGGAGGTAACCCATGTGGTGCAGTTTCACTGAACATGTGCGCGGCAAATGCAGTTTCAACACGAAAGCATAATGCACGCAGACATGGTGCAGAAACAATCGGGAGGATCGCAGAGCCGAACTGGAAAAGCCGCCGCCAGCGCGCAGCGCCTCCCGAACGAGGAGAGCTACTCTGCATACGCATGTCTGCACGGCTTCAAAATGCACACGGGCACGTGGAACAGGAGCCGCCCAGGATGCATATACATGTCTGTACAGTGTCTGAATGCACATAGGCATTGGGACAACAGAGAGAACAGCAAAATTTGCAGCCGTACACGAAATGACGACTCCAGTGCATCTCGAATGAGAGCGCATACATTGCACATGCATTTCTAACCTCGACGGCGCTATGTCCTCCAGCCTCACGCAGAAGTTTGCCGCTACGGAGGCGGCAGCCGCTAAGGCGAAGCTGGAGGAGCTCGCCGCTGCCAACGCGGCCGCTATTGCCGCTAAAGCCAAGGCCCGCAAGGAGGCGGAGGCCGCTAAAGAGGCTGCCCTGTGCAAGGCCGAGCACGACCAGAAGGTCGCTGCGGCCGCGCTAGAGCAAAAGAAGAAAGAGGTCGCGAAGCGACTCGCTATGGAGACAGAGGCTGCGGAGAAGGAGTTCGAGGAGGCCGTGGCCGCTAGCAAAGCCAGCTTGGCTGCAGCTACGGCGGCGTCGGAGACCCGACCGCTACCGCAGCTGCCAATAAAGGTGCAGACAGGCATGCGCACAACAACAGGAACCGCATTCCAACACCGCTCGCGCAGATGCATGTCTGTACGAAATCCAAATGCACATGAATGTGAATGTGAGGACAATGCTACACAAGCACCCGGGAAGGATAGATGTGTCGCCCATGCGTTTCTATGCTGTGCATAAGTGCATACAAGTTTGTAGTGGCCGAGAAATACAAGGCCAGCAACGCAAATTGAACGATGAACTCGTAATGAAATATTAATATGAAGAGCAGGATGCTAACATGAAAGCGAAACAACAAGCGACGAGGAATTGTAGTTAATGCAAAGATTTACCTACGTGGAGAGACGCGAGAAATGCCGACGCACAAGTGCTGTGCGCCGCACGTGCATTTATACGCGATGCCAGAATGGACACAGACAAGGGAATAGCAGCAGGAGTCACAAGAACCGCAGCGGTACTCGAAAAGCCACCACAAGAGCACAGTGCATTTCAGATGCAAGCTGACTCTCTGCATGTGCACTTCTACGTGTTGTTCCTGTATTTGCCCCTGACCCCCCTGCCCCCTGCCCCCTGCCCCCTGCCCCCTCCCTGCTCGCTGCCTGCCCTGCCCGCCTGGCCCCGTTCCTTCTGCTGCCCCCCACTGTGTTCCTTCGCCCGCTCCCTCACACTCCTGCATCCGCTCTGCTCTTTCACATTCTGTCACAGTACTGGTCTTCGGCAACGGCGTAGCGTTAAAATTAAAGAGGTGCGCATATGCATTTCTACACTCCCGGTAAATTCATACAACAACCAATCCCAGTATAGTTACGAAAGGAGAATCACAGATGCACCCGGGCAGTCACCCCGAAATGCAGCACGAATCCTCCTCTTTGTAAAGACCTGACACATGCCTGTCCCGGATAATTATACGCATTTCATATGCAGTAAATGCCCCAAATCCATAAACTCCTGCATCCTGATTCCTGCCAAAACCCCCTTATTCCTGAACCGTGGTGTCTTGAATGTCAGGCATGTTTTGTGAAAAAGGCAACTCTCTACGAAATACATTACATTACGTTATGTTATATGACATACATACGTACATATATAAATAGTACATACATACATAGATTGCATGCATACATTCATTGCATGCATGCATACATATATACATACATACATCCCTACATCCCTACATCCCTAGTCCTTACATGCCTACATCCATCCATCCGTCATTCCGTTCTTCCGTCCGTCCATCCATGCATCCCTGCATGCATGCATCCATGCATCCATGCATTCATGCATCCATGCATCTATGCATCCATGCATCCATGCATCCATCCATGCATCCATGTATTGAAGCATCCGTGCATCCATGCATCCATTCATCTATTCATTCATTGATTCATTATGTCATTCATTATTTCATTCATGCTTTCACGCATGCATGCGTTCATTCATTCATTCATGCATTCATTCATGTATTTCAGTCAGTACCTTATTCGATCAATAACTCATTCATCCGTCCATTCCATTCCATGCCATTCCTTCCCCTGCGTCCTTCCTTCATTTACATATACGCATACATTCATAGACACAATCAAACATCAATCGAGGTGCAGGTGCATTTGGCTGGTTGCGGCTGGGTAGCATGGAGTGTGGCCAACTCAGCGCTGCAGTCAATGGGCTCCGCAGTTTACCGTCCTGAGACGTGCCCCGAGATGAGGGTTGGGGCACTGCTTAACATCGTCTCAGAAAGAACCAGCCTCCAGGAACAGAGATGCTAAAGGATGCTCGCCCTTCTTGGGAACGACCTAATGCATCAAAGCATCATTCGATACATCATAAGCAAGCAAAAAACAAGGTACCAGCCCATACAATGGCCAACACAACTGGGCATCTCGCGAGATTCTTCGAGTGCGTCAGCCAGTTTGAGTATACACGTCGACTGTCAGCAAGATTGCTAGCAAGCGCCTGCACCAGCTGTTCTCTTTTCACGCGCGCAGATGGGGTGTGATGCGTTGATCTGGGGCACAATTGTGGCCAGGATTCTCTTACGCCTTGGGCGATTTCAGCTCTCTTGCTCGCTTGGATTCAGCTGGACGGCGCTACAATGAAGTGCAGGTGCATGACACAAGCCTCGCAGACTAGGAAGTGTCACCCTTGGGGGAGCGTGCTGTCCTCAACCAACAGGCCATGAACTTGGTGCAGTATGCGCATTGCACGGCGGTTGTAGGCGCTGCTGGAAACGACCCCTGCTCAGTGCATGGGTATAGTATACCGTATACAGCGGCCACGCCCCGTCAATGTACCGACCCCGAACCGATTTCGGATTACACCGTCCACCTCGCAATGCATCTCGGACATCGAGGCTGACGCCGGTCGATCATCCGCCACTTTCACATGTTCTTTTAGCGCAGTCATGGTTGTCATATTCTCCGCGATGTGAGGTTTGAGACTGGGAAGGATTTGTTCCTACTGCCGATCCCTTCCGAACTTGTGCGTGATGTTGGGGCCATCCCAACCATTCTAGGGCCCTTGTTTCAGACCCCACTTCAGCCAATCCCTCTCAGGCAAACTTTGCGTCGGCTTAGTTGTGAAAGTGTGAGGGGACTGTAGTATCTGTTGTCTCAGAAGCCACTGATGGCCAAAGCAAGGGGTCTCATGGTCCACAATGCGATGTCAATGTGACCTGAGGACCGAGATGGCCCCGCTAATGATACCCAGAATTGAAATGGTGAAGAAATAAATTCTTAACGATCGCACCCACGAAGCGCGCTGGGCATTTCAGGCACTTAACCAGACACACTGTTCAACACCCATGGGGTTGATCGGTAATCGGGAAGCAGTCAGGCTGGAACTGGCTACAATGGGACTCGGCTTTTGCTGATCCTTGTTTTGTCTGAGTAAATGCAGAATGGGAAAGCCTCTTTGACTGTCTTCCTGACGACCTAGGGAAACCAGCTGCCAATTGCTTTCCACCGCCTGGAGGGATGAGGGATAGGCCGGCCGGCCGTTTGCCAATCAATGCGGACTGGGGCTCTGGACTAAGACCAACATTCTGGTTGTGGGCAGCAAGCCACGAGGGCATATTTGCTGCCTCGAAAGGTTTGCAAGTGACCGACTACGTACATCGATGGAAACCGAGATATCTACACAAGTGGACAACTTACATATCAACGGTCTGTGGATCGCGCGCAGGCCAGCAATTCATGTTAATGCATGTTAATGCCAAGTGTATGGCTCGAGCTTGCACCGTGAGGGATGCGATGCTAATGACGAACAGTTGGCAGGAAAGGATCTCTGTGTCATGAAAAAGTGGACCCTAGCCACAAGCTCAGGCGAACTAAAGCAGAAAATGCATATGAATCCATTCCTGCACCTGCCGAGCCGAATGGATGTCCATACTAACATAATATACATTCTTACTTTTTAGAAGCGGTGCGACAAACAAAGGCTGGCAAGCAAACCAGTTGTTGATCTTGTAGACCCGTACACGTCGCACGAGATCTTGCTTGCCGAAGATGCGACACGCAATAATTACTGTTGAATTGTAGCTCCACCACCCTTGCTTGCAGCTCCACTGCTAGGCTCACGAGCCGGTAGATCGTTCGAATTGGGGTTCTCGTTACGGTTGTCCTCCATGGTGAGTCGGGCTCTCCTACTTCTCAGAAGAACCTCTGTCGCTATCACAAGAACACCATGGCAACGCAGACAAACCCTCTCTTTGATCGCAACTCACGACGAAAGGTGCTTGCATGTCCGGCTAGCTTTAGCCCTAATGCGCTGCTGAACTGTCGTATCTAAGACTCAAGTTGTGGAGCCTTCCGCAGCTACTCGAGCCGCGCACTCCATCAGTCACAAAGAAGTGCTCTGGCTCTACACACAACTTCACTCCAGAATTTCCACACTCCTCCTTGACTTCCCCGCTAGGGAGAAGTCACTCTCCTGGTCTCCGGTTGCGAAGACAATACTGGCACACAGTCTTTGACTTAATGTGCCCAGCTTGGCGTAAGCCTCGACAACCTTCAAAGCTGCGGACGCAACTTCCTCCATCAGACATGTACACATGAGCTTGGGACCCTAACACAACAACAGCTTGGGAGATCATTCGGGCCTTCACAGAGTTGGGTCCTCCTACGCACACATCACCCTGAACCCGAGGTTCAACAGGCGGAGCGAGTTGCGAGTGGCAGGCACTTGCGGACGAAGAAGGGAGGTCGGTTGGGCGGACTAGGAAGCCTGGACTGGCAACGTGGGTCGGCATATGCTGTCTGCTGAAGAACCAGGAATCTGCTGAGGGGACACATGCATGTTGATTCCCCCGTACACTACCGTAGGGCTCTGCTCACGAAGGGATTCCGGAGCAACATCTGCCCCTGGTGGGCACTGGTTCCTCCCCTTCCGTGACGTCAAGGCTGGCTCGTCACTGCCAGGACTTTTCCTCAGCGCGCTGTCAATTGCAGCCGCCACACGGTCCTGTAGTTTCTTGGCCTTCCTCTCCTTCATTGCTCTCTCTCCTTCGGCATGGCGCCCCACTAGCTTCCCACAAGAACAAGGTGGACGGCACAATCAGCAAGGTCAGATCACCTAGCTCCCACGGCCATTCGATTGCAACTCCTTGGCCCTCATGCTCTTCGCCCTCTGGCAGGCACACCAACGCACACACAGGTCTGCAAGAACATGAGGAGGCTCGTAAGGCAGGAACTGGCGTCCGCCGTCACGCTTCGCACTGCCCGTTGGGCCTCAGGTTCTGACCTGGTCACCACATCGCTGCTCAGGTTCAACAGCCCACACAAGAACTGAAGCCGGCCTTAGGGTAAGGCCTTAGTCAAGAGGTCTGCTTTCTGGAGCTCTCCCCTGCAATGCCTCACCTGCCATCCTCCTTGCATCGGATCTTATTTCCCCGAACCTTCAAGCGGCGGGTCCTCTGGCTCCCTGGACCTCCAATGAACGAAATCGAGGCGGTGTTGTCCAAGCACAATTCAGCCACCGAGCTCGGGATCCTTATAGATCAGCTAAGACCGTCAAAAGGGACTCTGTTTACATGCAGCCCTCCACCGCCTGGATCATCTCTGCTTCGGACGAGCTGAATGCAATCACAGCGCTTGCTTGGAGGCCTTCCAATGCACCGAAACTCCGTAGACTTCCACGACGAGTGACTCCCTTGCAGGGAGAACGAAGCGTCTGTGTAGACTCTCACCGGGACAGCCTTGCTGTCAGGACACAAATGCAAGCGGTAGTCCCTCGTCTGTTGCCAGCAGGACATCAGGCGCCGTCCGATGGCAATCGCCACATGTGGGTCCTGCGAAATCTTGGAGCACAAGACTGCCGTCGTAAAGGTAATGTCCGGACTTGCGCGGCCCTCACCGTGCCCTCATCAAAGGGCCTTGGTGCTTGGTCCTCACACATCAGAAGCTCCCTTCGGCAAGCAACTTTAGACCTGGCTGACTCCGGGAGATTGCATGATCTCATCAGCTCCTCTATGTAGGACTCCTGATCCAGGCTGAAGTGGTCGGGTTCCCAAGCTTTGCTTCGCTCAAACCATCGGTCTCCCAGCCGCCCTCCGTTACAAGCCACTCGTGTAGTCCCTCTGCGGTTTCCTTGTCACTCAACACAAGGAAATCATCGACGAGGTCACTGAGTACCCCACCAGATCTGACCCTTCCACTATCCTCCATATGGATGAGTCAGAACTCCCTTGCTCAAGGTGACACCCTAGGAACCTAGCCGTCAGCAACTTGGAGTCTCGAAACTCCGACCACCAGGCAGGAGCCTCCTTGAAACCGTAAAGGACTTTGGCCAGAGAGTAACACTCCCCAGGCTCGGCATGCCCTAGGTCTATGAGCCACTTTGTCGGACGGAGCAAGTAGCGCTTTGCTGCATGCCTTGGGATCGGCGTCTGTGTGAACGCCGATTTAATGTCCGTGGTGAACGCGGACCATTTCCTCCGGCATCCTACCGTCAGTGCCGACCGCTTCTGCCGGGCGGCTGCGTAAAGGAATCGACGCGCACAGCTCGGATCTCGGGCGGTGGCGGCCCCGGGAGCACATAGCCATCATCCGAAAACTGGTACACCCTCACAACTGTGAACGTAGCCCCACCAAGGTCTCTTCGTTCGAACACTGTTGAAATCAAGAGCTGTTGAGGCAGGTTTGCTGAGAACGAGTTCATGTCAGGGTCTTCTTCATCTGCTCCTCCCAGCACCCGTTGCCACCTGGAAAAACGTTCCTCAAACTGCTCCTCATCGAGCTGACACAGCTCTTCCCACTCTGAAGCTGACATCCTCGCAAACCTCACACTCATGCCTGCTCGGCCTGGCCTTGGCGATGGGTGAGCGCCACCCCTGAATGGCCGCAACATCTGTGGGCTCGGTCCGACAAGTTTGCACACCTGGGGGGGTTCCCTGCACCTGTGAGGTCTTAAAATCTTAAAACCAAGGGCCCTAAGGGTCTCTTGGTCCGAATGAGTTCATGGATCTCAACCCTAGTGACCTAGTGGAGTATAGCCAGCTACCACCCAGTTAGTTAGTTGCTGGCAACAAATCATGACGGTACTTTGGATCAAAGCACGCTGCAGACTGGCCCACTTGCATCAAGCGGCCCTTCGTGCCATCGATGGACACAGACGCCGTTCCTTCTGCACCCACATCAAAGCCTTGTTCACCTTGAGCGCTCGGATCTTCAGCCCACAGTTGAGTGGAAGTCACATGAGACACAACATTCCTTGTCCCTGGCTCCTTCCTTACATCTCGGTGCAAAGCCACTTTATCAGCAACCGTCACCACCAAAGATGCCCAATCACCATTGCCCTGCTCCCCGCAATTGTGACGCAGGTACTCATTCAAGTACTGGCACAAAGTCGGATGCACCCGACTCACCTTGAGCCTCCATGGCTATAGGCACCCAGAACTTTCGAGAATTCCACTGGTCCTCGATGTTGCCGTTTGGTAACGCTGCTTGTTTTCCCAAAGG